CCGCGAGGCGCGGCGCTACTACCGCAGGAAGGTGGCCCGCTGGAACAGGTGCGTGCGCGCTCCCCCGGCGCCGCGTCGGGCTCCTGCGGGACGGGCGCCCCTCCGAAGGGCTCGGCGTGTTGCCGCCGGGCGGCTGACGCGCGTTGCCCGGCTCCCCCAGCCCGAAACCCGCCGCCCCAGCCCCGCAGAAGGTCGTGGAGCCCATCCCTCCCCTCGGCTCCCTCCCGTGCCCCCCTCGCATGTCCTCGCCCAAACAGAAGTGTTCCGCATGGGGTTCGGGCTCGCGCCGTGAATCGCCTTTTCTTTCCCTCCGCCGCAGCCGGGCAGCAGGTAGCTTTGCAGACCGCGGGTGGAAGTCGCCGAAACTTTAAAGGGAAGAAAGAGCCGACGGCGAACCCGGGAAACGGAAAGCGAGAGAGGGGCGTCCCCGCTGCAAAGGCAGCGCTTGCAACCTGCGTCCTTTTGGTCCCGCAGAAAAGTCAAGTAGAAAGTGTTAAAATCCTGCCGGCCTCTCTCTCCTGAGCACGCTCCCTCAATAGCGCGCTTTGCGTGCCCAAAAACCATTAAGAAGTGATGTTTGGACCCAGTGAGAAGATCCATGCGAGCTTGTGACCCTGCCCCGGTTCGGCGCTATACACGGGCCGTGTGCCGGTGAAACAACGCGTCCTTTATGGGAAGGGCCCGATGCCGCTTTCCCCTGGAGGCAGCGCCGGCCCTTCGCAGGCTGCGAGCGCGCGGCGGTGGCGATCGGGCCAGCGCGTCGCCTCATGCCGCCGCGCTCCCGGCTCGGAGCGGAGCGGCGCTTCCTCTCGCCTGGCAGAGCCGTGGCTTGAACAGCGTCCGGAGAAAATAGCAGAGAACCGTCCTTTAAGGATCCTTCCAGCTCCAGCTGGTTTCTGCTGCCCGCAGTCGTTTTGCTTTTTTTTTTTTTCCCCTAGACCGTCGGAAACCGCTTCCTTCCACCTACCTACTTGCTGTCCTGGCACAAAAGTTTGGCCCCGTGTCCCTTGCTGGAAAAGAATCGCTGCAAAGCATCTGGGCAGGCGTTCAAAAGTGACAGTTGTGAGGAAAGGCAGGAGCGGGGAGTTGGCAGGAGCCCGGCCCGCGGCGCGCGGGGTAGCGTGCACAGGCTGCGAGAGGAGGACGAAGGGGCGTGAGCAGGAGGGAGCTGGGGGACAAGAAAGGGGAGCACCTGGAGGTCGAGCCAGTCGGATCCTTTAGCCAGGAGCCTCCTCGTTGGGGGGCAGAAAGAGCACCCTCTGGATTATTTTTTGCATCCCGAGTCCTTCTCCGAAATAGCCGCTCTCGGCTCCGCATTAGCCCCAAGGAAGGCTTTTACGCCTACGTAGGTCGCGTGAGGAACGCTCGGTGGATCGCCCTCGCACAAAAGCAGCGAGCGGTTTGGTTTAATTGGAGATTAGATTTGGAAAACCATTTTTTTTTCAAACAGGTCAATGGGAGTCGCGTGCAATTTGGCCCAATATCCGTCACAGCACGCAGCGGCCCGAGCGGCCCCTGAGCGTAGTTAACGGCTGGGGAGATTTTACCTGATCTGCCTTCTTGGTAGCGCGCTGCGTGCGCGGGGCGGATATTTTCACTGCCGACGTGCCCCGAAGCCGGGGCGTGATCCCGCGCGGCCGCGAGTACGGATGCTCAGAATAGACAGGCAACTCGGGGAGTTCCTTCTGCCGTTATTTCCAAGTCCTTCGGTGAACACACTCGAGTGGCGGGGTAAGAGATTTCTAAATGCCGAAGAGATTCCCATGTCCGAGTCCAGTTTTGGAAAGCGATTTAGCCCTCGAATATATTCCCTCCAGTCTCCCGCCCGCTTCCGAGAGAAGCGTTTTGCCCGACAGGAAGATGCTTTTGACGGGTCAGGATGTCGGCGACTTGCATTCCTGCGTTACGGGGATGAGACCCAGCTAATCGGTCGCCTGCGTGGAGACAGGGAATAAAATATTTAAGGTGAGACGGGAGAAAGTTTCCTGCAAGGCAGCATTCGGTCCTGTCTTGTATCCCCATCACTACACGGCTGTCCTGTCTCGTGCTGCAGGTAGTGCACGTGTCTGATTTTGTGGATATTGTCAAGCACGACGCTCTTCTAACGATTCCTAAGTCCATTAAGGCCCATTAAGCTGGGCGGGGGCTGTGCTGGCCGTGAAAGCAACCTAAGAGCACACTTTTCTAAGTTTGCCGTCCGGTTCCTGAACCCCTGATTAAAATTTTAAGAGGACTGGATTTCGTCGCTCTTGTTCGCTGATAAGGCGCGTGCGAACCAGCGTGAACAACCTGAACATCGAACGCGCAAGCAGTTCTCTGCGGACGTTTTTTCCCACCGCAATGTAGGACCGGCTGCCAGCCTCCTCGAGGTCACGCTCCTCGCTTGAATATCCACAGCCTCCCGGCTGCCGTCTCACAGCAATACGCTCCACAATTTGACTTCAGCTGAAATTCAGTCGAGGTCTGCAAACGGAGACTGTGCTGTCGTAGAGCACAAGTATGTCTGTTTTTTGTGGGGGGGAACTGTCTTTTCTGCTTGTGCCAGACGCAGGCGATGTTAATCGGCTCCTCGGTGCAATCGATATGCTTGGAAACGAGGGCGAAAGCTCGCTTTCTCACAGAAACTCCAGTGCGGCTTTTGGGCACGTTCCAAGTTTCAGCCGCCTGCCAAGAGCTTGAAGTTCGTTGCAAAGACCCGGGGCGTTTCTGGTCTCTTCCCCAGGCTGCGCATCTTCCAAGGCTTTGCTTAAAACAGCCTTTCTCTCGTCGTTCTTTGTGGGGCGTCTTGAAAGTTTTAGAAATAGCGTGGAAAACATGGACCAAATCAAGCGGCTGTCTGACAGTATCCAAAACCCTCGTGAGTCTTTGCTGGATTAATTAACGGTTCAGCTCTGGCCTTGTATTCAAGCAGGCTCCTTTTTGCTTCATATTCTACGTCGTTTTTCTTGCGGCCTCCGGTTCATCTCAAGATACTTGTACGGCCCTTATCGGGACGATGGTGGACAAGGAAACGCTTGGGGGGTTTTAGCCGGTGCATAGTTTGTTGGATATCCCTTTCAACTTCTGGAAGCATTTTGCTCGCAGTTTGGAGGTGGTGCCGAACTCTTCTGCTGCGCGAGAACTTCTGCCGGTTTCGTGAGCTTGGCAACTCGACATCTCTTCGAGTCTTGGTTCCTGTGAGTGTTTTTAGGTTTGAACCGTTGACGACAAAAACCGAACCCCCCGACTCGGCACCCACGCGCGTGCGTCACAGCAATTCGGATGTCTCGCCTTGTTTCGCTGGAGGCTTTTGGAACCGTGTTGGTGCACTAATCCCTGGTGCAAAAAAATGCACCACGTGAAAAACGCCGCCGTTGTAGTGCAACAGCTCTCGCTTGCAGGAGTGCAAGGACGTGCGTCGCCTGGGCCAAAAAGGGCGCTCTTGTTAAGATCCCTGCGAAACGTTTCCTTTCATATTTGTCCCCTTCTTGTGGCCTTGGCCTGAAAATCCCTGCATGTAATTCCTACTCAACTGTCCAAAAATGGTTGCTGCGATGCCAGCCCCAGACGGATCTCTCGCCTGCTGTAATCCGGTGACGGGATCTTTGATCATCGCACTGCCCTCTCCCACCATTAGTGCTGCTTCTTCAGGATCAAATATAACCGTCGGCTTTTGTTCGCTCGCGTCTTCTGCGTAGTCCGGCGCAGCAGAATCTGCGGCGGCTTCCGAGGTGCAAAGGATTTCCTCCTTGATCACGTTCCCAAGGGTGTGAATACCTTAATTCTGAGTATTTTTTGCCTAGTGATGATCTTTCACGGTCATTTAGGAGAGACTTTCTTTCGTCACAAGATGGCATTACACCCAAACTTGACGCATTTCAAGAAGTTCCCGTTGAGGGAGGAGCAGACCTTTCCCCCGGCCCTCGAACAGGAACGTTTTTCTGCTCCTCGGCAGCGCGATCTTCCATGACGGCTCTTCAGCAAAATTAGTGGGGTGCTGGTTTCTTTATCAGCCCTCTGATGTTGCTTCAGTTTAGTTTCTGAGTCTGTCCCCATCTGAGAGCTCTGCTGCGATCTGTCAGGTTTTCGTGCTTTGCTCGGATACTTGACATGTTAGTAAGGAAGCATTCCTTACTATTTTAGGGGAAAGCCAAACCTCGGAGGTCAAACAGCTTGCAGCAGAATGGGTTGAAGTGGATTGCAGCAGCCGAGCGCCGTGCCTTCCCTGTCCTCCGATGCAAAGCTTAGTGTGAAAAAATGGAAAGCTGAAAACATTTTTCCATTACCGTCCCGTGGAAAATCCTTCTAATTCCTTTGCACTGGCCTAGTGTCCACATGCAAACAAGGGTTGATTTCCAGCCCTTTTGGCAGGACATTGCAAGCATCGATGCCCAGTTTCCTCCTCTTGTGGGTCTCCCAATTTTCCTTGAGGTTGCTTCTGCTCACAGGCATGTCCATATGACCGAGGGCAACATTTTTTCTTGTTTCCTTCATTCAGATCGGAGGAAACGAAGCGTTCTTCCTTACACGGGCGGAGGGAGGAACCGGTGACAAGCTCACGACTAGGAGGGTTGCAGAACGCTTAAAAAAACTTGACTTTGTTTTGCGTTGTCGGGTCTTCTCCCTGCCGTAACGCTTCGCTCCAGAAAGTTGGTTCCAGTTTCATACAAGATTGTCATTTTCTCATAATGGTTTCTGCTCCCCCCGCCACCAGTTGACACCGTCACTGAAAACCACTGGTACATGAGTACAAACTAGGTGAGGAACTTCGAAACACCTGAGTACAACCGGAGTCCTCATCGGTACGGCCCCTATCTCCTGGTGTAACCGGTGTGTCGCTTCAGAGAAAAGGGGCCGATTCCATTTTTTCGGTGCTGTGCGTTCTCTTTTATTGCCCCTGTTTGCTTTATAAGGCAACGAACTCATTTTTAATCACAAAGTTCTGCTGGAGAGATTTTGGAGGAAACCTGTTGTTTTAGCATGCAGCCGGGAATTTCATAGGTTTCATAGACATTAGGGCTGGAAGGGACCTCGGAAGATCATCGAGTCCAGCCCCCTGCCCAAAGTCA